GTAGCACTACTAAATCTACCAATGTGAACATTGGAAATGATTTAGATTCTACATAGGCACATAAGTAAAATGGAATACTTTCTTTTCCCCAAGATGTGTTTGTTAAATTGAAATAGTAAGGTGGGTGTATTTTCACCTCCACATACAAGAACGTATATTTTCAAGGCTTTAAAGCTGCTCTGGTACTTGAAAACAAAAGTGCTTATTTGTTAACTCTAAAAGCCACGGTAGTGTGCCAGTGACATTTTTTTCTTGACAATATTAAATAAAATGTAGAGTGTGTGAAGATAAGTGCCAAGCCATTTCAGCTATATATAGCATATGACGAAATACCCTAAAAGCCAAGGTTGAGTAAAAATGCTGATCAGGCTGTTTGTTATACTTGTCATTTAGATAAAAGAGCTGCTACAGCTGACACAAAATAGTTCCTACACCGCCTATCAGTGGCAATGTTGCTTAAATGACAGAGACTGTTAGTTTATTTTCTTCACTAGGGGGTGGGGAAAGAAGGCAGGTGGTGGAGATGCACAAAATAAAATTCATAGAATTATTTACAAAGCTTTAGTAGTACAGAGAAGTACAGGCTCTCGGGTTCACAAACACGGATATACAAATATAGAAGTTAAGGAGAAAGCAAAGCAAAAAACGTTGCTGAAAATATTTATTTTGTTCACTTTTTTTGAAAAAAAAATTTGTTTGCCAAGCATCTTCTTGGTGTCTCCAAAACAAAAATCTTAATTTTTTTTTTTTTACCGTTTGTGAATTTTTTCTGCTAAGGTGGTATGTACACTCATTACATGTAGAAATAAAAGTGTAAAGAGAATTTTTTTTTCCAAAAAGGACATTTAAACTTCACTGCTCATGAAAAGACTCTTAATAGCCTTACAGATTCAACTTCAGTATTTTCATTAGTCTGAACAACCAAATCATCCTAGCATTTACTAGTCAATTTAGAGTGGGCTTTGTATCTTGCCCCTGACCCTCGCTAGGTAACTAGCTATTGATAGTCATTTATAACTTCTCCCAGACTTTAATTTTGTACCTGCAAACTGGAAATGGTAATAGACTTCCATATTAAGGATTTATGAATATAATTTATGTAATACTCTTAGTACCTTCACTTAGATCCAATAAGTAGCAACATTGCCATGAGGTAGAATGGCCCCTGTAATCTGCGTACCATAGCTATTTCTTAGAATCTTCCCATTCTAGGTGATTATTCTGTAATTGGAAAGTACCATCTTTTCATGATGTCACATTCCCCCATAATCCATCCTCTCCCAACCCCTGAATTTGAAGATTTTTGTACAATGAGTATCAGATACCTTTACTTAGTTAACAATATTCTATCCTTTAACCTGAAATTGTTATATAGCATTGAATTTATCTTACATTGATTCCAACCACCTTGTTAACGTTTCCTTGCGTATATCTAGCCTCCACTTTATAATGATTTTCTTTGACTCATCACGCATGTCAAAGGGTGGGGGGGGGCGGTCTATGAATCCTAAACTGTTTATTTTTAATTAAAATAGTAAAAGATGATTATAACTTGCCAGACATTTTATATGCTTTTCATATTAAAATGTATAGGATCTTTGGACTTTTGGAAAAATAATGTTGCTTATGCTCTTGGTTAAGGTAATTCAGTTTTGGTACTACCCTGTGCTGTTAGACTTTTGAGGATTGTGATGTTTAATCACATTCCTAATAGGCTCCACTCATTTCTCAGTTGTGTTTAGTGACTTTTTTCTTAAATATTTTTAATCAAATAAACTGAAAGGTTACTATTACCAGTAACTTACTATGTGACAGTCACTGATCTGGGCACTTTACATATAGTTCTTTTGCTTCTCCTATAATTAACAGAATTGCTTCTCAAAAAAGGTAATAAAAATGTATTTTTATTATAATATACTTAAAACTTAAATTAGCAAATTTCACATTATTTGGTCTGAAAGGTTTCTCTACAATTTCTGAACAGAATAGTTGCTGCTCTACCACAGTTGTTAATTTTTGCTGTTTGTCAAATTAAAATATCCTAAGAATAGTGATTTTTTTCACTGTTTATACATTTTCTAGAGTTTGGTGTTCTTAATTCTTTTATTTGTATTTTCCTACTTTAATCCAAGTTGTTTTTGTTTTGTAATGGAGTGCTTCTTTTGGGAGTCCTGATGCTTTAATTTTTTAATCATTCTATTTTATTTGAATCATTCTTTGATCTTGTGATTGGTGTTTTTTTAATAAGTCTTTGTGTTAGCATTCTGTAGTATTTATTTTCTTTTTTATATCCAAGAGCTACTTATGTTTGCCTGGTTATGAACTTGAATTATACCTTCCTAATCAATACTTATTTTTGTATTGATTTTTAAATGACCAGTATATTTGCTCTTCTTCGTTTAATAAATTGGCTGATTTTAAAAAATACTCTGTCAGGCTTTTACCATTAAATTGTGCAGAGAGCTCTCTGTTGGATAATAGTGTTAGCATCTTCCTGAATTACCCAACAATTGTTACTCTTAATATACTGTGTAAGTAAGAGAAAACATCAACATTTAGTTCTTTGCAGAGATGAATAAACATCTTGAACTGCTGATTTAGACAATGTTTTAAAAATGCTATGATGCACTTTGGTGTATGACTGACTCTTGCTTAGTTAAATGTTTTGCAGCATTATAACATAGTTGAATTCAGCTCATCTTTTAAAGCAGTTGTCAGAAAAATATGGGCCAGTATGGTAGAATGTATTAGCTCAATACATTGTCTCCATTTTATTATGAAGCTGCTGAGGAAGCTGTGATATACAGCACTGTCATTACAGATCTATTGTTAGGACGGTTCCACAGTCTTCTTTGCACTGCCATTAATTTATAGCAGTAAACAATATGTAGCCTTCCAACTGCAGCAAAGCAGAATCTTTTAATGAGGTGGATGTTATTACCACAATAAATCAGTGCTTTCGCGTAATGTATAATTCAATGTGTGTATTCCCACTGTAACTTCTCTGAGTAAGCTGATAGTGTATCATTGTCATTGCACAGCTCCTTGGGTCTTTTTTTTTTTTTTTTAAACCTTCTTTTATTTGGGGATTTCTTTTTTATATGCTTGCAAATAAATGTGGTATGTCTTGATAGCTGTCCTGCAGCAGGCTTCAGAAACCAACTGTAACAATAACAGCCAGAATCAATACTGTGGGTTCTACCTGTATGGATCTCTGCATGATGGCATTTTTTTCCAGATGCTAGTGAAATCAATCCTAATTGGTTTTAGCATTATATTCAAGAAACATGATTCTATAACTATTGATTTTGGGGGTGGATACTCATTTGGAGAGTAATAAAAATAGGAACAGATAAAGTGAATACTTAATATGCTGCAGAACCATACAAAAGGCCCATTGATTCTATTTTTAATTCACATAATTTGTCTTCCAATGATTTTATTTCTTCTTTCTTTCTTTTTGCATGGCTCAGTCTTCAGGGACAAGAACTAAAATACATTTAAAGTCGTTCCAAATTGGTTCTGTGACAAAGAATTCTTGGAGTTAGTTCCATTCTTAGCTGGCATAAATTTAGTAAATCTAAATAATTCTTTCATATAGACACTAGTACTTTAAAAGATGACATATTCACCTAGCATATTGTGATACTGATTTAAAATAGTAAGCAATTAAAGATTTTTAAAATTTTGCCTATAAAGTAAAAAAAGGCTTAAAATAAAATGCTGATAAAACCAAACTATTGAAAGATACAAGTATCAAAGATAAATAGTAGCATTGAAAAAATGTTTAATTTAAAAATAGTTGACAACCCTAAAATGATGAATTTAAATGTTGCCTAAAATCACGTACGAACATGAAAAGCAGTTTAAAGCTAGTTTAACATTATTTCTTTTTCAAATAGGGCATTTCTGAATACATCTATTTTGAACCAATATTTTAAATTTATTTTAGTATTTCCCCTATATATAATCAAATATTTTTTTCTCTTATGACTGAGGCGTATGACTAACTTAAAGGTTTTCATTAAAATACTCTTACATATCATCTTGTTTACCATTGAATTGGTACTTTTATTTTAAATAAGGGATAAAGATCTTCTAAAGATTAGAATGCTTTGAGAGGATGACTTATTACTTAAAGCTGTTAATCTTAACATTCTTTGAGCCTTTACAGTCTTAAGAACAATATTCTTATGTCTTTCTTAAAAAAAAATATGCATGCACATTTAACCACACACAGTTCTGCATCCTGTTTCATGGAGTCCATGCAGCACGATGGCAGCAGCCACATTAATGATACCAAGAAACATTTATTACTGTAAACCCAAGTTCTTCATTGCTTTGCTAGACTTGCTTTTAATATGTCTGCTATAACGTATTATGTTCCAGTATCATCTCATATTATGTCCTCTAGTTTTTATATTCCATGCAGGCATCTTTTTGTCCTCTAATTCTGGTTGTACTCTGACTTGTAGAAATTTCTAAATGTAGATACATTTAATCCCTTTATTACTCAATCTCCTCCTTGGCTAACACCCTCAATTTTGTTCCATCTTCTTCTTGGAACGTATTATAAACTAATTCTGTAGCTTCATGATTCTGTTTTGGGTTGCTACCTCTAATTAACTAATTAGGATTTACTAGATGCTTTCCAAACTATTACGTAGCTAATATTCACTTCAGGTAATTGTCTTTATGAAAATGCTTTATGCAGGCTGATTAAAAACCTATATTCAACAGAAAACTAGACTTACTGAGAAATGACAGGCTTTTCTGTGCACTTATATGTTTGTTTAACATACGTTGAAAAAAATATTTTTTCAACAACTTTCTGAATGTACCACTGTCTTTTAGCATAGTGTGCATTTGTATTATATATATATACATGCACATATTTTTAATTCACTTTCATAGTTGCTAATAGGATAACATTTGAAGAGAAAAATAGACAAGATGATTATGTTTACATGCTCTTGTTTGTCTTTTTCCTCCACTGGCAGCCAATAGGAGCATTGAATCCAAAAAGAGCAGCATTCTTTGCAGAGCGTTATGAATCTTGGGAAGATGACCAAGTTCCAAAGTTCCACTATGGTACTCATTACTCAACTGCAAGTTTTGTTCTTGCATGGCTGCTGAGAATAGTAAGTTCAATTTGAATAATAAACCAGGAATGAATAAATTCAACGTTGTGGAAAATATGCAATATTTAAAATCATCAGCATCTTTTTTGGTTGTTAAAATTTCTCTTCAATGATAAAGGTTCTAATGGGATAAACATATCCCATTTGGTATGTTTCATAATGTTATTACTTGTATAATTGCTTTTAAAATGTTTCACCTAGATTTGTGAGAATTTTTCCCTTAAATTTGCCTCTTTAAAATTCTTATTGTATTCTAAATTGAGAAATAGGTTAATTTCAATTTAGTCTTAAAATAAGGATTAAATAATATTTCATTAACACAGGCATATTTTCATATGATTTGGAAGCTTCACCTGCCCCAAATGGAATAAGGTGTATTTGTAGGTTAGACCAAAGCTGTTGTGTATTGATAATATATTGGTTAAACAAGAAGTGTTTCTGTAAAATTGAGAGGTAATTCATCTACTCGCAAGTAATTTCTTTGGGAAAGCATTAGCAGCACATCATTAATTAAAGCTTGTTAGAAGGGTACAGGCAGACATAAATCCTAGAAGTAATTTATAGTGCCTAGCTAATTTCAAGCAATTATCTACTAATATGTGTTTAAATGTTCTTTAACTAAGAGGAGGCTTTTAAATCTTCTAAACATTTTTCTTTTCTTAATCATAAATTAAATATTGAGCCATCACAATAGAAAAATTACATATTAGACTAGTTTTTTTGCACTATTTTCTTGCACTGTGAATAAAATGCATTCTAATTTATGTCTGAATGTTATTAATAAATTGTTCTTGGAAAGGAAGAAAATCTGAAAAATTTTGCAGGTACCAAATTTTGAAGATATTTCTTCCAAAGCAAAAATAATTTAAGAACATTAAGTAATGTTTTAAATGTAATCATTCAGGTATAATTTCCCATGTATTCTTGGTATGTATTATTGACTAATGTTTTTAGTCATTAAAGTAATTAGATATAAAGATTTATAAAAACTGTGTTTTTATGCATGAGGGAACACCTACTGATATTTTTAATTGCTTATTTTTTAGGAGCCCTTCACAACTTATTTCCTAAATTTGCAAGGAGGGAAATTTGATCATGCAGACCGAACTTTTTCATCTATTTCCAGAGCTTGGCGAAACAGTCAGCGGGATACATCGGATATTAAGGTACACAGGTGTTTCATTTACAGTTATTATTATTCCCAGCCAATTCCTAGTTGAATGAATTCTGACAATTTCTCTCATGCCCTAAGCTTTAAAGGATGAGACCCTTGATTAAATAGCCAAGAACCAGTGCATAGAATTTTCTGTGTTCTCTGTATCTGTGTGTATATCTGTTTCTTCTCTCTTTTTTTCCTTTCCCCTCTCTCCCTCCCTCCATATTTCCTTTTTCCACTCCCTCTCTGCAGGTGTAGAATGATTGTTTTACTTCCTGGAAATATTTTTCAAGAGTAATATAGTAGGTGTAATAAGGCACCATTCAGTCAAGTACTACAGCGAGGAAAGTACAATCAGAAAACTCTCAGGGGCCTCCCCGGTGGCACAGAGGGTTGAGCGCAGTGCTGTGAAGCTGTGCGCAGCCTCTGCAGTGCCGGTTCGATGTGGCTGGCCGGGGAGAATACCACATGGTGTGACAGACCTCTCCTGCCGTGCCCACTGCTCCCCTCAGCAGTGTATTTCGTCATTCTGCCTGTTCTGCTCCCTGCTGTCTCTGGTGAATCTTCTCACCCTCCCGCGCCTCTGGCCTGTACCCCAACTCTTATATAAAAATAAATAAATCTTTTAAAAAAGAGAAGGGCCTCCCCTGGTGGTGCAGCAGTTGAGCACTGGGCTGCAAAGCTGCTCACAGCCTCTGCAGCACCAGTTCGATCCCCGGCTGCTGGGCAAGGGTCCCACATGGCGCGCAGACCTCTCCTGCTGTGTCCGCTGCTCCCCTCAGTAGTGTGTTTCGTTAGTCTGCCTGCTCTGCTCCCCGCTCTGGCTCTGGTGAATTCTCTCACCCTCCCGCGCTTCTGACTGTACCTGGTGCTTGTATAGATAAATAAATAAATCTTTTTAAAAAATAAATAAATAAAGAGAAAAAGAAAAACCTCAGACTTTTAATACAAGTAAATTTAATTTAATTTACAAATCCCATGTCTCAATTTCAGGTAATCTTTCACCTGCTACTGTTTCTAAATGTGTACCTAACTTTGCTTTGTATAGGATTGCATTATTATTGAGGGGAAATGAGAATTTTTCTCATACATGTTAATATTAACTACAGTAAAAGAAGAAAATACTTTTCACAGTAGTTAATATAAATCCGAATAGACTTTTGAGTCTACCTTAAAAAGTATGGTATTGATTTCCATGACCTAGTGTGTCTTCCTGCAGTGTGCTGTGTTATACGCTGTTGAGTGTTAGGAGATAGACCTAATATTGTGAAACTCTGATAGTATCATAAAATATGACTTATACATAAGTACTTATACTCTATGGAGGAAAATAATAACTATCATAGGACAAATATGGTTCAAAAGAAAAAATTAGATATTTTATGCTGCTACACAATACCTTTAAAAAATCCAATGTAATAATCTTAAGTAATTTTACAGTCTAGAAAATGTACTCATATGATTCATTTTATTGTAGATTTATAACCTTTATCAAAAATGTTTTATTAAGGATTTCATCATATGCAGAAATAGTCTTATTTTGGGACATCTTTAGGATGTTTTGATACAACAAATAGTATACTCTGAAATACTCTAAAATACTCTCAGTTCTTTAAGAGTCACCACTAGATAATGTTGAAAAGGTTAACAGTAAATCAGAAATAGTTAAGATTTAATGATTGTTAATTCCATTTCTAATCTCGAGCCATTCAATTCCTTAATTCTTTTGAGAAGCAAAAAATACAGATCCATGAAAAGAATAATAACCTGCCTTACTGTTATCAAAACATGGTTTTTAAAAAATTTCTAAATTACTTAATTTGTTATATATCTCATGATCAAATTATAACCGCATGCTAAGTTTAGGACAACAGATGTAAGCAAAAACAAAATAATAAATTTGAAAATTATTTCTCCTGTTGTAAAATATAGTGGACATTTTTAACTTTCTACTTTTCTGAGCATTGCTTAAAGCATTGTTGGACAGAAGGTGCATATATGTTAGATCCTTATGGTTTTGTTGCCTCTTTTGCCTAAATTGTAAACGTCTTCTCTCAAGATTATTTAATTTACATATGTGGTTCCATTTAAAAAACAACAACGAACTTTCATTAAAATACCCCACTTGTGAAGAAGTTAAAAACAAAAACAACTCCCCCACATGGTTTTTCAAACTGAAAACAAAAGTCACATGAACTTCTTTACCTTTCTCCTCCCTTATTTTTCTCATTACTTATATTTCTTCACAATTAATAAGAACTGAAATCCATCTTGCTTTCCTTTCCAGTGAGCTTTAATACAACAGCCCCATTTAGTAGACAAAAATTAGAATTTCAATTCTTGCTATTTTGCTACTTTATTTCTAGCAGTGCATATAGGGCGTCTGTATGAAGAAATAGAGTATAAAGTTCAGGGAAAAGATGAAAAGAATTTAAAATTCCAACTGTCAGGATGATTGGGGCCTGCATAGAAATATAACTTCTTCTTTTTTTTGTAAGAAAAAAATTTAATTAAATAAACCAAATTTGTTTTTAAAATAAATATTTCAAGCAGAATTGATTTAGTATGTTTTCATTTTTTTATTTTTTAAAATTTTACATTTGGTTATATTTTATATAGAAGGCTTATTCACATTTTGCTTTTATTTTTGTTGTACAGGGCAAGATTTCTTATTCTTACAACATGATTGTTTATATGTAAAACACATCTTGCTATTGCCTATTTTTGTTGCTTTTGTTCATGACAAGAATTGTCAATATGGAATGTATCCCTTTTAAGCTACCAACTTAATAATAAAGAAGTTAAAAGAAAAACAAATTTATATATTTTTACATCATTTTTCATTTTTGCACAATGTCACAATGTGTGCATTTTCATCTTGGTTATAGTCCCCATACAATTCCCACCCCCCCTTGTTTTGATCCTACTCCTCCCACCCCCAGTGTGTCTCTGGTTTATAGTTGCAGGAAAAAGACTAATTATAATAAAGTAAAAATCAAAATCAACAACTTCTTTCTTAATAAGCCATTTCTTTTCGTTCAGAGGCACAGCAATTTTCTTCAGGACTAATTTTACTGAAACCTACTTGTTCTTTTAACCAAAATTTGTAAACACAAACCATTTGTAGGATGGATAGGACAATGATAAACTACCTTATTTTCTATATAGTGGTAATAAGGTAGCTCAGGACCAACTTAGTGACTTTCAATTTAGTGACTTTCAAGTACTTTAAAAAGTATGTGATGTTTGCTTATGTAGGCTCTTTAAAGAGTCTTCTGATAAAACCGAGAAGGGATTTATTCATGTCTCTATGTTTTCCCTGCCTCTTTAGAAGGGTTATGTCTTAACACTTTAGAAAGCATATTTAAATTATAGTTTTCAGTATAGAATAAATGCATAAGGAGGCATATTTAAATCTCTATAATCATATAAACATTAATAGAATCATATTGATTATGGCCTCACCTTTGTATTATCTTAGAGTTTCTAGAAATACTAAGGAAATGTTAAACAATAGAGATTGGGTAGTAAAATGTCACAGTATTGAGTGGATTCTACAGTGTACCTTGCTTGTGTTCATAATACAGTATACATTTTCTAAAATGTTTTTTTTTTTTTTTTTTTTTTTTTTTTTTTTTTTTTTAAAGATTTATTATTTATTTATTTGTTTGTTTGTTTATACATGCAAGCACTGGGTACAGTCAGAAGTGCGGGAGGTGAGAGAATTCAATAGAGCGGGGAGCAGAGCAGGCAGAAGGACCGAAGTACACTGCTGAGGGGAGCAGTGGGCGGCAGGAGAGGTCTGCGTGCCATGTGGGACCTCCTTTGGTGGCCGGGGAGCAGCCGGGGATTGAACTGGTGCTGCAGAAGCTGCGGGCAGCTGGCAACCCAGCGCTCAACCGCTGCGCCACCGGGGAGGCCCATTTTCTAAAATGTTTTATAAAACTGAACTATTGTGAAGTAACTAGAAGATTTATTTAAAAAATAATATAACATTCTAATATACTTAATATTTTTGCTAAAGGAAACTATCACTTTAATCTTGAATCCCTGTTTCTTGCATTATGCTAATACTGAGAAAATAATTTTACCAAAAATGAAAGTTATTCCTACGAGATAAAAATACAAATTCTTTTTACTTTGGAGAAGAAAGACATTTTGTTAAATTTTACTAAAATAGTCTTTTCTTTTTAGCATGATTTACCATTTTAGTTTTGGAACTCACCAATATTTCTGTGCATCAATGCTGATTCCATTTCAGATCTGACCCTCCAGGATGTTCTTTATTCAGCTTGAAGAAATAGTACAAAAGTGATTATCAGTTCTCTAGGTAGTTTTCCCACTGTCCAATAGAAATGTAAAATGAAACACAAGTACCAACCACATTTGTAATTTTAAAATTTCTTTTAGTTAAATTTTTAAAAATCAAAATAATCTTGTGGGGTTAATTTTAATAATATATTTAACCAGATTTATCCAAAGTATTCAACACAGAATCAGTATAAAATTATTAATTAGATACCTCATATTCATTTCTTTCAAGCTAAGTCTTTAAGATCTGGTATGCATTTTATATTTATGACACATATCTATTCACATTAGCCACATTTCAAGTGTTCAGTAGTCCTTGGTGCCTAGTTTGTGCTTATATTGGGCAGATTTTGGACATTGGTTTGGAAGGCAGCTATTCTTACCACTACACTACCAGTGCTGCACAGGAGGTTATTTTGTAATCGCACCAAAGGATAGCTTTCTGATTATGGAAAAGAGAATGCCTTCAACCTATTTGAACAATGATATGCCTGATTTTGATTTTTTTTATTATCCTCCATCCAAACATGGACAGATAGTTGCAATAACAGGTAGTCATGAGGACTGAAATATAAAATTCTAAAGTTGGGTTGGCAACTCATCACTGTGACAAAAGTTTTAAATCTCCAGCAGATTTTGTGTTTTAAGTCCTAAAAGTTAACATGAGTTTAGAAAGGAAGGTGCAAAATATATTACTCT